TAGGCGTTCGAATCGTCAATTTTGATGTAAACGTTAGTTTGGTTGGGAGAGGTCTACCATTTGCTTTCAATATCCTGGGTTAGACTTTGGTTTGGCTCAAAAGCTTGGGGCTATTTTAATGAAGCTTTCGCTTATTTTTCGTTTAAAAATCCAAATAACTTACAGTGAAAAGCTTGTTTTACATGTTTGGGAGGAGTTAGCTGCAAAAAATTTAGAATAAGGTGTTTTATTCAGATAATATGCAGTGTTGCATTTCTTTGTTTTTTTTTTAATATTAAAAGAAAGCAATAAAAACTACTCCACATTACAAGAAAGAAACGAACTGAATTCTTCTAAAGAGGAACCAAATGTTCGGGGGCATTACTAAAGCACGTTTAGCAAGCATATTAGGTTTTTTTTTTTTAATTCTGACATGTTCAAGGTTAAGCAACCAATCATGCAAGGTTCAGCATGCCGTGGCCTTTCTCTGATTAAATTCCAGTGATTATGAAGATTATTATCTCCATCTTATATAAGTTTTATTGCATCCAAAGAATCATTGTCATCTTGCATTTCTTTCATATCATAGTTTTAATAATACTACCTTCAGTTTTTTTTTTCGATACAAAAATTTTTGGAAAAGGGTTGGGCTCACCCACGATCCAAGGGCAGGGCGAAATCTCCCTTCCTTCTAAGTCATACCAATGTTGGGTAGGGCGAGCCGTCAATTACCCTCAGGCGTTTACCTAGGCACCCAAGAGCTAGTATGCCTCCCCAAGCGCCGCGACTGGAACCACAACAAAGTGGTATTCCCCAGGGATCGAACACATGCTAACTTGGTCATATGTCTCACCCCTTCGCCAGCTGAACCCACGGACGATGGGTATTACTACCTTCAGTTTTTAATATAAGAGTTAGATGATCAATTTAGGGAGACCAAAAAAATTAGTTAATTTGATTAATTGTAACAAATGTGTATTAATTTTCTTAAATCACCATCTTTAATCATATGCATTAGAATTGCCCCTTAGTAGGAATTCCTTACAATCAATTGGGATATTTTGCAAAAAAATTATAAATTTGAGAGACAGTAAATTGAGGTCTTATATTTAGAATAAAATTCAATTTCTAATTAATTCTTATATTAAGAAAAGAAAGTAATATTTGCTGTGATTCTAAAATCATAAAAAAAGGAAAAGAAAATAAAAGAAAAGGTTTAGCTTGCATGAGTGGGAGAGAGAGAGATTGATGTATAATCATATGTCTAATCTATGTATCTATATTTTTCAGATAAAAAAAAAAATCTATGTATCTATATTTTATGTTTCGTAAACGAAAATTATACTTTATATATCTCAGATTACACGTAACTAATGAGATCCACATTTTAGATTTAATATAACTTGCACAAATAAAGGTGAGATCAGACATGATTTGATTTGACTGTATTTGATTTTTGTTTCAAAGAAAGACTTTTAGAATATCATCATTTTTTCAAAAAAAAAAATTGTTTATCTAGAAGACTTCACAAAATTCAAGATTATCCAAACGTAGTTCAAAACACATGCTTGATGGTGGAACTTCAGTCTTCCCGTACAGTAAGTTTGATTTCCTCGCATCAATCATCGTTATCACATTTTCTATTTTTAGGGGAAGAATTATAGTTAAGAACCCCAAAGTGTTTTTTAGAAAAATAATTAGTATTTAAAAATATAGATATGTTCACAAATAAAACGTATTGTCCCCTTTTTTACAAGATTTATGTGTCTAAAAAAACTACGTACTACAAGATTTTAACAACGTTATATTGGTATTATTAGAGCCTCATACCATTTATACCGATTGCTTAATCGAGATATTAAAACGATTTAATTAGATTAATTACATTCTTGATGATATATGTTGTTCTTGGAAGGGAAAATCCCAAGAGAAAATAGAAATAAAAAATGACTTAATATGACTGTTTATGAATTTCAAATCAATATTTACACATTATCAAATGTTTTTCCTACTTTTTTCCCATCCTTCGCCTAATAGATTTAACTCATGCACGTAATATTATACCCATAAAAAATTGAACCTACAATTTTATACTTGAGAGACATAACACACACATATTTGTATAAGCGCTTAGTGTCATCGCTGTACAAAGTTATTGGCAGCCTTTTCCCTACACTCATTTATTCTCTATTACACTGTAAGAGGTAGTTGGTGATTTCTTTTGATATTAAATGCAAGACTCTAATTTCTTTTATTGTTCAAATTTATATTTTTTTAAATTATATTTCATCAATAGGGTAAGCTCAATGTAAAAAACCATGACACCTTTTTAAAAATAATAAAAACCAATTAACTAATTTTCTTAATCTTTATAAATGAGTTATCTAACTTCTTAGCCTTCATAAATTACTAGTTATCTAACTCTTATATTATCTCTATTTTTAAATATAAGAGCTAGCTAAACAAAGGATGTACTTTAATTCTTAATATACGACTTCAACCTATTTTGTCCTACAAATTTATAATTTTTTTTCTAAAGTATCATATTAATTGCGCATATAAAGGAGGTTTCATATAAGGATAGTTTCAATACACATGATTAATTTGATAGAGCATTTAAGGCAAACAACGACAAGTTTGTTACAAATAACTTATTTAATTAATTTACTTAATATTCAAAATTCGTAATCTAACTCTTATATTAAGAATAAAAGGCAAGATATAAAATCTAGGAGTATAACTTGTGACATGCGTATGATATTGGATGTATTGACAACACATTAATGGTTTAAAGTGTAAATTTGTTATAAAATTTTTTACTTAGGAGCATTAGGCACTGAAAAGATTTTTTGGTGCAAATTTAATTTATCTCGAAAGTTCAAAATTATAACAAATTATCACTTACTATTAAAAATGTTAACAGTCAACATTAATTATTTTAACAGTCAAAGTTAGTTTTTTAACAATAAGGAGCAATATTACTATAATTTTAAATTTAAAAACAATTATATCTAAAAAAATTTGAGTGCCTTGAATAAAAACTTTTGAGGCAAATTTACATACTAATCCAAGATTAAATAAAAGGATGGATTTAGGATGGTTGTTAAAGAAGATTGTTAGAAGAAAAAGAAGTTGTGTTGTGTTGTGTTCACACAGTGAGAGTTGAAGAAAGAAAGGAAAAGGGTTAAGGTTTGTTGGTTTCTCATAAATGGCCAAAACAGCTACAGGCAAGGAAGCCTTATCGCCTTCTTTACTTTTCACATACTTCTCATTCTACCCGTCAACACTCTTCTCTTCCTCCTACCACCATATTACTAATTTCTTCTCTGTTCTTTCTTTTTCTTTATTATTATTATTTTCTCACAAAAAACCGTAGTTTAATAAAAAAAAAATCCCAAAATGTCTCACCTATACTGTAATATATACTCACCTAAATGACTGCCTAGAAACACCCACCCACTTCACACTTCACCTTAACATCAACGCCAATCTTTTTCCTCTTCATTTTCTTTCTAAATAAAAACGAAATGATCTACAAAATTACGTAACTCCTAACTGTTACTTTCTCATCACCATCACTTACTTCATTAATCCTCAAAATTAATTACTAAGCATCTAACTTTTTTGTTTTTTGTTTTTTTTTTTAAAACCGAGAGTTACTAATTTAAGAATCAAACTGGACATGTTCCTTCACGTATTATAGTAGAAAATATGGGGAAAAAATGAGTCACAATATTTTTAACTTTTAAATAACAATAATAATAGAAAGGACCTAGAAATTAATTAAAAAATTAAAATAGAGTTCATAATCTAAAATCAGAATAAAAATTATTTTCATATATTATTGCAACCAAACATGAAGAATAATTTTTTTAAAATAAAAGAATAGGATGAAGTAGTAGTGAAAATTAAAATGAGGAGTAATTAAATAGAAGATTGTGGTTTTTATTGTTAGAAATGGACAATAATAGACAGGGCCTAGCAATTAAATAAAGGTCTTGAATGAATCTGTAACAGCTATAGCTGACCCTTCAGGTACTATGAATCCTTGGCCTCAAAGCAACACTTTTGCATTCATTTCTCCTCCACTCAATTCATTTACATAATAACATTTATTTAATTCCCTTTTTTCCCTCAAAACAAATAACAAAAACATATATATGCTTCTCATCCAACCCTCCAGATCTTTCATATTCATAAAAATAATCGAATATTATAGTTCAAATAAAAATTATAAATATATATAATCCCAAAGTAAGATATCAACCGTATGCCTCATCATCTATGCCGCTATATATAAAAATATTTAACGCCAATAACTTTGTAACCTAGTAGTACGAAAACTTTTTCTCATGAATGGGAGATCTTAGTTCAATCTCACCTATATCCTGAGGCTGTCTTAACCATGTAACTTGCTGTGAGTCGATAGTCATATAATATCTGACGAAGAGAGGCGAAGTCTAGGAGAAAGCAAATCAAACTTATAATCCACTTGTATTATCACTATGTACTTTTTGTCTAAACAGGACCCCAATAATCCTTATTTGTTCAAAATTTATACATGGGTTTTAATTAACCCTTAGCTTGCGTCCCCGTTTAGGATTCTATATATCTATATATATATATATATATATATTAAAAGTCATTAATCTGTTCAAATATTTCATGCACGAAACCTAGTTAACAAATCACATGTAGCATGCAAATTAATTAAACCCAGACCAGACCCATGATTTAAAAAATTAAAACTAAGAAAGTGTGAAACACAAGCTAGTTTATTTCTTTGTGCTTAAACATGATTTTATGTGGTCAAAGAAACAACCACACTTATTAGGCACAAATAAGAAAGATGTGAAACTCATGACATATACATATGTCCGAATCATCTTATTTTACTGCATGAGATGTATTCAGATAGAAATATATACTAAGGTGTGAATCCATTTTCTCTCCTAATCTAGGAACATAACTATATAACTATAGAATAAAATATTATATATATTTATATAAAGAGAGATAGCTAGTGGAAAAAAGCAACATAGTTTTTATTACTGGGAAAGCCACTCAAAAACACACAGACAAGGAGCTAATAACACTCATAGCGCGCACACAGAGAGACATACTCTTGGACATTAAGCTAACCATATTAACAAAGCTAAACATCACATTTGCAGAGATTAAAAAGTCACCTATATATATATATTAGTTTTCTTCTTCTTCATCATCTTCTTCCTGATTTTGGTACCTTATAGTTTTCATCTTTCACTCTCTGATCTTGTTTTCCTAACACATAACATCCTTGAGAAGCTTGTACCTGCGGGTGGTGGGTCTCGGCGACGGCGTCGGGCTCTTCCCCTTATCGGAGCAGCCGCCCTCTTCACGATCATGATGCTGCTTGATTCTCTCGCTGCCGGAATATTCTGACCGGTTGGTGGAACCCACGTCGATGCTCCCGGCGGAGGCGGCGGCCGACTTCTTACTATGTCTGAAGTTCTTCTCTTCGCTTTGGCACCAATCGCACAGTTCGATCTCAGGTAATTCGCCGTAATAGTTACTACAATACCTGCGACGAACATCGATTAACAAATCGATTCAGTAAATCAAATCGAACTTTAAGTTCAATTCATCCATGAAATAGTAATCATTCAACAGTGATCATCATATCGTCCGTCTTTGTCTCTTCGATAGAAACAAGAAGAAAAAAGATTAAGCTACAAGGCTGAATCAAATTAGAGATATAGAGAGAACGAGACCAAAAGGAGAAGAGACATCGAAGAACATACGAGTGTTGGAAGCGATTTCGGCATTTTCTGCATCGGAAAAGCTTGTCCGGGAAGCCGACGTCGCCGCACATGCAGCAAACAGTTTGAAGATCCACCATTGTTGTGCGCCCAGAACACACACGGAGAGAGTGACTAAACACTACCAGAAGCAGGAAAAGAGAGAGAAGATAGAGAGAAGAGATGAAGGATTTGGATCGATTTGGAAGAAGGAAGAGAGAGAAATGGAAGCCCCGGCCAAAGAAAGCAAACTGTGGAATGAGAAGAGAAAATCTGGAATGAAGGAGGGGAGAAAGAGAGAGAGAGAAAGAGGAAGGGGGGACGGAGAAGAGTTTATATAGAGAAATCTGCTGCAGCAGCGGGTTTGAGTCGGTGTAACATCCTGATATCTTTTTTTTTAAAAATAATAAATTAAAAGTATTATTAGACTTTTTAAGTTTTATAATTTTTTGACTAAATTAAGGTTTAAAAGTTTAGAAAGTAGTTATTGGATATGATTTTATGATTCTTTTTTTTTTAAAACATAGACTTTCCAAATATAATTAAAATATTTATAGTCACTCATAAATAGGAAATTTTAATGTGTTGAATTAATTTGTTTTATAATTTCTTAAAAGAGTAAGAGTTTTAATTTTCAAGAATAACAAATAGTTAATAAACAAGTTTTTTTTTTGGACATGGAGTTAGTAATCAAGTTGGCAAAAAGGAAAAAGGAGAGGAAAGAGAAGAGGATACAGACACACATACATATAACACAGGTAGACCACAGGTTGCTTGCAGTCGTTTTCAGTTAGAGCAGGCAGGCAGACCCAGAGAGAGAGAGAGAACCTTAAAAGAAGAAGAAGAAGGGGCTAGCCAGAGGGAAAAAGACAATTATGTCCCGGATAGCTGGCTGTTTAATTTTTGGTTCCTATTGGTACTACTATTATTATTTAATATTCACTTCTTCCATTGTTATTAAAAATACACGGGTTAATATCTTTGGTCCCTCAAATTTATCTTTAATTTGATTTTAGTCTCTCAAATTTTAAATTATAGGTTTTGGTCCCTCAAGTTTTTTTTATTTAAAACATTAGTCCTTATAACCTAATAAAAACTAGAACCATTTTGCCCCTGCAGGGACCAAAACCTATGGGTTGAAATTTGAGGGATCAAAACCAAAATGAAGACAAACTTGAGAAGCCAAAAATTATATTAACCCAAAAAAATTATTAAGAGAGTATTTGGATAGAAAAAAATTATAATTTTAAAAGTATTTTTATGGTATATTAAGTAAATATGTGGATGAGTTTACTTTGATTTATGAAAAAGTTCTTTTAAAAAGCACTTCTTAAATTATCCAAACACCTCCTAAATCACGTTATTAAAAACATTTAACAAATTTAGTTAGAAACAATATATGTGTAATATATACATGCCTTTTTAATTATATTACTATTTGTAAAAACAATACATGAGAAATAATGGGTTAAAATTTATTACAGTGAGATAAAAAATAATATATACTTAATGGGATAAAATTAAAAAGACTGGTTTAAAATTTCAGATAAAAAAATTTTTTTTTATATTTAAAAATATTACTATGAGAGATATTATTTCTTATAAAAAGAAACAGAGTAAGTATAAGATTTTAATTTATTTTGTCTCTTAAATCTATAATTTTTTTAAATTATTCTTGTTGACTATATATATTAAAAGATTGCCATTGAAAGAGTAACTCCGATACAAATTACAAAGCATGATATTTATTTTGGTAAATTAAAACGATGTTTTAGAAAAATCAATACACATCTTTTACTAATAATTTAATTAATTAATTAAAAAACAATTTTTAGTACCTATACTTTTTCTCTATTTTTTTTTAATTTAATACCTATATTTTTTAATTAAAATTTTTAATTTTGTTTTGTTAGCGTTGTTAGCTCTTATATAAGGATTAAAAGTTCTAACATATCAAAATTATAGCCTATAGGGCTAACAACGCTAACAAAACCAAGTGACAAAATTTGTTTAGGAAAAGCAAAAAAGGGGTAAAGATAGCAAATTAAACATTGAGAAAAATATGACAGATAATAAAAGCATATTTAAAAGATAATTTTATTATTTTCAATTACATTCTTTAATAAGAATAGAATACATAAATTTTACCAATTTAAAATGCATGTAATCACTTAAACTAATATTTTTTAAAATTTGTGTAAACTGATTAACAATATCCTATATTTTTGACTAGATGAGTATTTATCTGGCTTCTATTTCAAGGATAAGAACAAGTAAATTAATAATGAATAGAGAGATTGGTGTGTTTGTTTGTTGTGATGTGGGAGTGGAGTAATTTGTCCGTTATGTGGGGTTGGGAAGTGGCATATGAAAATGGGAATTGAATGAATGGGAATGGGACGGACGGTGTGGCAGTAGCTTTCATTGCTCACGCCACGCTCTGCCCCTTCCGCCCTCTCCTCCACGCAATTCCTTCCTATGTAGATTCTCTAGCTACCCAACAAACCCCCCTTCCCCTTTTTTTCTCCTTCGCCCTTTTCTCCTTTTCATTTACGTAATTATATTTGGAAGCTAATACTACTTTCAATTCTTAATATAAGACTTAATACAAGAACTATTTTAGTAGATTGAAAAAAATAGTTAAATTAGTTATTTATAATAAATATTTATTATTTTTTCTAAAATATCCTTATTAATAAAGTATATTGACTAAAACTATCATTATTACCATGACTGCCTTGAAAAAAATAGATAAATATGAGAGATAAAGTGGATTGGGATCTTATATTTAGGACTAAAATAAAATTCAAATAAATTCTTAGATTAAGGACTGGAGGTAGTACTACACATTTATAATCATATGTTAAATGGGTTTAATTTAATTCGATGTCATTGCCCCCCTTTTTAGCTTTTTTTAAACTAAATTAATTTAGTCGAACTTTACAACAGTAAAAACTAATTATTGATGTTTTCTTGTAGCCATGGGTTAATTAATTAATAGTTAGAATTCACTTTACTTAATTTATTATAGGATTAATATGCACATCTACTCATGAGATATTCTCCCATATATTGATACGCATCTAATGTCATAAAATTTTCTTGGGTGTAATAGTGCACACAAATGTTTTTAAATGGAACAAAAATGTTATTGTCCATTTTTTATAGCTTATGTCTGTTACTTCAGTATGGTGGCCGACTGGCTGCTTTTCATATGTAATTAATATTAACTATTCCTCCGGTTCTAAATATAAAACCCTTATACATACTAGTATAAGAATCTTATATTTAGTACCCGAGGAATACATTTAATAGACGTGGCATTTTGCTTCATTTGAGAAGGTTGATGTGTATTGTTGTATTCTATAAAATTTTATACATGTCATATGCCCATAAAAGAATATTTTATTGATAGATTTGTGGCTTAATTAATTCTTGATTATATTATTAACCACCAACTGTGATATGTGATAGTTTATGTGGCTTACAACCAAGAAGCTATTACCGACCATATTTCTATCTAATTATCTAATATATGTAGCTTAGATTTAAGTATTGTTACATTTAATTAAGAGTAACTATAAATATAAATTTTTTTAAAAAAATTTCACATCATTGAAACGCTTCATTTTTAAATAAAAAAGGTCGAATTCATTTTACTTGATTTAAATATTTTTATTCCAATTATTTCAGAGGATATGTGAGTCTTCTGACTTCAAAGAAGCCTCCTAGATTTGATTTATTAACCAAATTTTTCATTCTTCAATTTAATAATTAATGATTCATTGATTTTTATGTAAAATTTTTGTTATGCAGCATTCTTTAATGCTCCGTCCATCTCTTATTATAAGAGACAATTAATCAAGTTACCTTCAGTTGATAAAGATTATTGAATCTCATAATATATGAGAACGCACAATTTGATTTCTTTATTAAGCTCTTTTGGGATCACAATAATGGCCTTAGCTCTCATTGAATTTTCAGAATCCAATAATAACCCATTAATTTTTTGTACGAAAATAATTTTTAAACAAATTTTATTATACAATAACTTCTGTAACTAGTTAAGGTAATAGGTGAAAATTTTATTACTAATTTAGACAAAACATGTTATATTATAAAACATATGAAGTTCATGTGATAAGAATAGGAAGGAGCAATTAATATAGTGTTAATAAGGAGATACCATGTGAAAAGTTTTAAAGACTTTTGAAGTAACATGTTTATTATAGCGTGATTTTAGTCAATTCATGTTATAAAGAGTTGCGTCAACAATCAGACTTGAAAGTGGGGGAGACAAGAAGACAGATTAGCTTAATTAATTAGTGGCTTTTATAATTTAGATTAAGGAAAATACTTACATCAATTTTCTTATATCAATTATATTAAGTTCTCCAATCATACATGAATATGTGCTCTATTTTTTAAATTTTAACTAGCAGTTAATTATAAATCTACATGAAAACAAATGAGCAAATATAATCATATATGATTGAAAGACTCGACATAATAGATATAAAGAATTTGAACTAAGTTTTTTTATTTAAATCCTCAATTTTTTATTAGAGAAGTGAATTCGGTGGCACATGCAATCCATATGCACAATTTAAAAGATTAGTTAATTAGTAAATTTTTATACGCTGTCCAAAAAATGGTTAATTCTTAATCGTGATTAAAAAAAAGAAAGCAATGGGATCAGTCACATCAAAGAATTGGTAAATTAATTATGATTTCGGTCTGATTGATTCCATCAAAACTGGCTAAACTAATAAAAAAATTACATAATAATAAGAAATACAGTTTGGCACCGATGAGTCTGCTGGAAACTAATTTCTTTTTATTTACAATAAAAATTCATGATTGTTTTTGCCATCACAATAAAAATTCATTCTATTTCTTAAGTTTCACTTGTTGTAATGAATAAATGCGCATTTGACCCTTTAATTTTTTATAAGGTTTCAATTTGATTATTTAATTTTAAAATATATATATTTAATCCTTTAACCCTAAAATTATTAATCTTAAATGATAATTTTTTTGTAACAATTGTGGTTGTTTTGAAACTTAAACTTAATATGTTAGCATTTGATATTAATATTCAAGACTTCAATATCATTATTTTTTTATTAACAATTTTAAGATTAACAAACTAAACATATATTTTATAAAATTAAGAGACAAAATTAAAATATAATATATATATATACATATATATATATGGTTGTTGTCACCTAACCAATGTTTGACTGCGCCAGCTTTTATATCCTCTACTATTGTTTTAACTCTAAT